AGGGTTGATAACTGCGGGACAAGGGGAAATGGTTTTAAGTTGAGAAAGGGAAGATTTAAGTTGGATGTCAGGGCGAAGTTCTTTACAGAGAGAGTGGTGAGGTGCTGACAGCTGCCCAGAGAGGCTGTGGATGCCCCATCCCTGGAGGCATTCAAGGCCAGGTTGGATGGGGCCTGGGCAGCCTGGTCTGGTATCAAATGGGGAGGTTGGTGGCCCTGCCTGTGGCAGGGGGGGTTGGAGATTGATGATGCTTGAGGTCCCTTCCAACCCTGGCCATTCTGTGGCCATTCTGTGATTCTGTGTGAATAAACCAGATGGTCTGCAAAGGTGTGTGCAGTCCCATAACTATGAAATGCTCATAAGCAGCAGCTACAGAAACATCCCATGAAATATCTAAGGAGGCACTTGAAAGGAATGGTACAAAAGGAAGCAAGCAGTGTTAGACAAAGCAAGGCTCAAAATTAGGTGGCACCATGTGGCCCTGGAGAATAAATTCGTGGTTGAGAGAAAATAAGAGAACTTGAAGCACGCCAGCAAAAAGCTCAGCAGATGCTGATGCGTCACGGAATGCACGTACCTGTTCCGCAAACACAGGGAGCACAGCACCAAGCTGCCGTACGCTTCAGTGAACTTCTGCAGAGCTCGCAGTCCCGTCACAGGCTCTGTGAACTTCTGCCTTGCTTCTGCGGCTGAAAAGAGCTTTTCAGCAATCTGCTCTGGGAAACCGACCAGCGAGTCGACGTGGTCAACGTTGTCGGAGATGTAGCCCAGCACCAGGCTGAAGAGGGACTTGGCCGAGTAGCGGAGGTTGCCCTCCTTGGTGTACGTGAAGATGAAGTGATCGGTCCTCGGCCTCCTCGCCCTGTCGTCCTCCCCGTTCAGACAGAGCTCCACAGAGAACCCCCCGGGGAACAGCCTGAGAGGCCGCGCGTTCCGGACGCCGCCCGCAGCCGGGCTCACCACGTGCAGCTGCCCACGTTCACGCACGTAGATCGGCCCGGCATCCGCGTGGCTTTCCGAGCGGAGCCAGTACGACATTCCCCTCGTGCCGTTCTGCAAAAAAGAAGCCGGAGGTGGGCAAAGCGCTGCCGGGGAGGCTCGGGAAAGGCCTCGCGGCGATCCCGGGAGCCCCGAGTGCGAGCAGGTGCGGGGCCCGGCCGCCACCGGGAACGGCGGGGAGCAAAGGGGGGGGAAGGGGGGAGAAGGGAGGCAGGGCCGAGCGGGAGGCAGCCGGAGGCTGCGGGAGGAGCGCCGGGGGCTCCGCTCCGCGCCGTGCCCGGAGGCTGCCGAGTGGCACGGGGGGCAATCGCTTCCCGCGGATCCCGACCCCCGCCCACCTGCCCCGCAGGGCCGCCTCGACGCGCCGTCACCCGCGCGGGCCGCGCCGCCCGTTCCCGCCGCCCATCCCGCGGCGCCGGCGGCTGCGGGCGAGGAGGGGCCGCGCCGGGGGCGGGGAGCGGGGAGCGGGAGGCGGGGCCGCGCCGTGGTACGGTGCCGGCGGCTCCGCGCGGGGCCCTGCCCTCGGGTTTCCCTTCTGTTTCTCCGCTCCGTGGCGAGGATGCGGGCCGCCGACTGGTGCCTGAGCGCGGCGGGCGCTGCCCTCGTCATGGCCACCTCCAGCGACCCGCGGCACCCGGCCGGAAACGTGGCGGACGGGTGAGGGCTGCGGGCTGCGGCCGGCCGGGCCCCTGCGGGCGCGGAGAGCCTCATCGCTGTGAGCCGTGCGTGGTAGCGCTGGACGGTGATCGTGTCGCCCTTCTGTGACCTGAATTCTGCGGCCCCGCTGTCACGCAGCCCGATTTGGGGTTACAGCACCCCAAAGAAAGAGGCTTTCCCGTTCTTTGTTCCGTTTCTCGAGGGGGGAGATCTCTTGGAAGATGGCCGTAAGCAAAGAGCCACAAGGGGTGGTTTTGTGCTGTTCTTTCCACAGAAGTTCCGAAACGTTCTGGACGACAACAGGGATGTTCCCCCAGGAGTTCATCATTGGCTTTCCCAAACGTGTGACCGTCAGCAGAGTGGCGATCCAGTGCTACCTGGGTAAGGGCTCCTGGAGCAGCAAGTGGCTCACGTTCAGGGCACGCATCTGCTCAGCTATACCTCCTCAAAGCGCCGTTTTATTATTGAACAGTCACATTTAGCACACTAATACATCACAGAACCATTAAGGCTGGAAAAAACCTTTCAGATCCCTACCCCCCCCATGCCCACGTCCCTCAGTGCCACATCCCCACGGCTCTGGAATGCCTCATGGATGGTGGCCCCTCACCGCTCCCTGGGCAGCTGAGCATCGCTGCTCTTCCTGAGAAGAAATATCTCCTGACACCCAACCTGAACCTCCCCTGAATAATAAAGATACAGCTTAACAAAACAGTTGATCTCCACATCTGTTTTGCTTCTGTACATGCTTCAGAAAAGATGGATAATTGGCCCCACCTGCATACTGTATTACTGCAGCACCTTAAGGTTATCTTTTGTAGCACAGTGATGTCTGATCCATTTTATACACAGAACTGCAATACTTACTGTTTTAATGATTAATTCTGAGCATTGACTTTTATAATTTTACTTCTTAAAGTAAAGACCAAAAGGACTGAGGTCAGAGCATGGGGACGGGCGCTTGGCCATCAGCTGGCAACTTGTCATTGGTTGTCTGCCCTCAAACGTGAGCATGGTGGTTGTCCCATAGTCCTGTGCCCTACGTTAGAGCAGGAATTAATTGTAAGATGCTTTGTAGATGAAACATCATGCAATGAACTTAAAGATCAGTGAGCCTCAGGGTTTATGTTGATATTTTAAATGCATGTGTATTTTAGTGCGGACCTTAAGGATTGAAAGAAGCGTATCAAAAGACCCAGTAGACTTTGAAGAGTGCATTGAAAAAGGTAAGGTTCTGAGCCTGAAGTGGTTCCAGCCCCAGAACAGTGTCATGCTTTGGTAGAGCCTTGTCCCCTACATTTCTTTTGTTATTTTCAGTTAGTCTTTTCTATGATGTATTTCACAGGAATCCCAATTTCCTTGCAGAAGTTCCTGGTGACATTGTACTGCAGGGTAGTCCTTGCAGTCAGGTATTTACGTTTTGACATCAGTTGCCTGAAACACTTTGGTGCTGACTGGAGGGATCTGTCTCTTCTCGCTCAACAGTGTCACATTTTTGGAGTTCCCCATCTGTATCCCCAAACATCCACTGAAAACATGGATGCTGGAAAATAGCCGGGCTTCCTCTCATGTAGCCTCATGCTGTGCAGTGCCATTTTCTCAGCTTGAAAACTGCCTTTTCAGATGGCTAATGGTTAACAAATGTACTGGGTAGCAGTGCATTTTTTCTTTCTTGTAAGGTCAAGTCTCAATTTTATGCCTTTGATTAAAAATGCAGCATATAAAATTATGCTGCTTAGATTTTAGGGAGGTTCTGTTGATCCGTACAGATGAAACTACCCTGTTTATTGGTACTGATGCACTTTTAATTTTTCAGTGAGTCCTTTTAGCTCCGTGTGTGTTTGTTGGGCGTTTGTATCAGGCTTGATTATTTTGTTAGAAGTTAATTTAATAGACATTTAAGTACATTTTATGAACGCTGATAGGCTGCTGAGCTGTTTGGAGATGTAGAATGCTGTACAAGGGTTACAGGCATTACTTGTACACTCTTTCATTTAAAAAATTGAAACCAGACTCATATGGTATAATAGAGTGCCTTTTCCTGCTTTGTTATGTATTCTTTTAAATGCCCCTTGGGTGATGTCCTACAAAACAATGTAATGAGTTGTATTTTTACACTGGGATATTGCAGAAAGTATTTGTTCTCTTAAATCACCTTGTAAAGAACAATTTCTGCGTGTTGTACCAGCTCACGGTCCTTACATTCTCATGGACTCTTATTCTGGTGGACATTTTTCACAGCACTGCACCCTGTTCCTTATTATTTGCTGAAAAAAAAATTATGTATTTTCTAGATTTGCAACACACAGAAGGACAGCTTCAAATGGAAGAGTTTCCAGTGAGTATACACGGGATGCACCATGGTGCTTCATGGGTAGGATGTCTAAGCTGGGTGTAAGCTATGATGAAAACGTGATTGTTGCCAGGCTGACATGAGATGTAGGGATTTATCAGTTGTGGAATGTCATTGCCTGCTTCTCTGTTGATTATGGTGTGAAATTGCACCTGCATTCTGCTCCTAAGTGAGTGACAGAGCTCTCTCCAGAAGAGTGGCAGTGTGTCCTCCCTCAGCTGTTGTCTGGAGGGCTGCAGTATTAAGGGTGGGAAGGGACAGCTGTTTGGAATTGCTCTCGTCTGAAGAAGCTCTGAAGCTGCATGTACTAGAAGAACTTACCTGACATTTAGGAAATAATCATCTCTATCTTTGTAACACGCTTCTGCAAGTAGTTTGATAGTTCTGTTACTACTGGGAATGAGCTGACGTTGTGTTTTTTCTTTACAGCTTCCTGATTTCCAGGCCACTTATTTGCGATTCATCATCAAATCTGCCTTCGATCACTTTGTGTCGGTGCACAGGGTGATGGCAGAGGGCACAGCAGAAGACACTTAAGTCTGGCTTAAATTTGTACCTCATCCTTTTGGTTTTATATTTTGATATCTCTGTCAAAGGAAATATTTATTACAAGCCTAGTATTAAAGTGTTTTTGAAGATACAGAGGTAGTACATGTTAACCATCAGTTTATTATATTGAACACAGTGCTCTCATTAATTGTAGTAACAGATTTTATAACCTAGAGTGTTAAAAAAACTTGAATGTAACCATATTGATTTAAATAACTGTGTTTAGCTCACGCTTTCTTAATACATGAATTAAAACTCATTTTTCTGTGAGATGTTTCCCTTGCATTCTGTGTAGAAAAGGTGCAAAAAACTTAAATGTCAAAGAAGCTCTTCAGAAGTTCTTAAATTGGGAATTTTCTCATCAACTCAAACTGTTTAATAGGATGAATGGAAGCTACTAGTGCTTGTAAATAACCAGGAGGAAAAAAACAAGCGAGAACCATGGTGGTCTGAAAGGTTTGTTTATTTGTTTCCATGATTGAGACCAATCCTTTGTTTCTAACAATATTTTACAAAATCAGGTCACAGCTGTCTGTGCTTTATGCTGTGACCGTCATAACAAATACTACAGAAACAAATGTCAAGAGATTGTCTCATTCAGAAGCCTTCTAAAGTGAGTGAAACTGAATGTTTAGAAAAATGGTGTGTATACAAGAGAGAGAGAAACTTAATAATGTGAAATCAGTTGTTTTGCATGACATTGGCTCTTGCAAATGGCACCACCCCTAAGGCTTGTCCTGCACCGTAGGAATGTGGGTGTTGGTATCCAGTCATAACAGCTCAATGGATTCCAGTGGTGCAGGAAGATGGACGTAAGCACAGCAGCTGAGGTGGCTGTGACAGACCTGAACATCTCCAGACACACGGATGATGAACCACGTTACAGATGGTCTTCAAATGCACTTACATTATTCTCTTTCTAGTTGTTTCTAGTATCTTGAGATTTTGGTTTTTTTTAACTCTTAGGTCTATGAAAACCGATCCATTGAGCTTTTACATCCAGATGGTCTTTGCTCTGATGTCCTCTTCTTTCTATTTCATTTTTTCCAGGACGGTGCGTATTTCCTGGGGGTGGTAATTCCAAGGCCCCACTCCTCCCTGCAAAGGCAATAAGTTATACAGTGAAGCTCAGACACACAGAGCAGAAGTCTTTATAGCTCAGTGCTTAAATCAGAACGGCGGGTGGCTGTGCTTGGGCTTCCTTTGCTTGGCAGCCGTTGTGCAGGAGATGGTGTGTGCACAAGTCACACCCTGCTGTGTAACTGGGGCAGGGCCCGTGTCTGGCTCCTGGAGCTGGGGAGTGTGCCTGGATCTTGCATTTAGATGTAGCTCGGTTTTCTAATAAGCCACAAGATAAATATTTGAGCAGGACTGAGGTGTACATTAAATATGTACATTGTGAAGGCCCAGACTGGTTTTGCTGCAAGTCCTTTTTTTCCCCTATGGTTACAATGAATTGTGAAACAGAGTGAAATACTGACTGCTGAATAGAATGTAAGACATTCTTATCTGAACAGTTGAGGATCTCAGTATGTTGTGCTCATTATTGTTGGTGGTTTTTACCTTGTAGATAACATTCCCTGCTTGAAGTACATACAGTCTTTCTGGCAGTGCTGCATATTTTGAACTGCTCAGGTTTTCCATTGTGTCTAAAACCACTGGACATAAGGGATTCTTCTGCTGAAGAAATTGTGCTGCAGTTTTTCGGTCCTCAAGGCTTCTGTGATTTTTAATAACAGCATTGTTTTTGAAGGCCCATCCATCTAAAGCAAATGAGAAAGGTATTTAGCAATGCAGTTCAGGTGTTGGGGTAGAGATGTACTGTGTCATGTATTGCAATTTACTCCTGACAACAAAATTTGCTATGAAATGAGAAGTCCTTCTTAGAGTGTGAGAATGGTTACAGCTTTGAAAATAAATGATCCCAAGTTTCTTTACTCTGAACAAACAGTATTCCCATTTGTCCTGGATTCAGAAACACTAGGTGTATTTTAGCTGAAATTTTCCCACCTAAGCCCAGAAGGATACCAGGTATGGGAGCTATAGCCCACCTGGATAAAGTTTGCCAAAATTAGTGCTGCAGAGAAGGGTTTTTTTAAATAAGAAGTCATATTAGCTGCTCCCTGCTCACTTAGCACAGTTTCAGCAATAGCACCATTCATTCAGCTTGACTCTACCATTTAAGCCTATAAAAAAAACCCAATTCCAATCTGGGATAAATACACTGGGTAGAAGGCACATTCCTCCTTCTTCAGAAATATTCAGATACACATTTGCATACAAGTTCCTAGGAAAGGAGAAACATGTAAACCATTTCAATGACTGGAGTCTGCATCTCAACTACTGTAAATAACATGTTGTTAAAAAAGTGACGTTTTAGAAAACCACCTCAGTCATGGGCTAAAAATCTCTGCCAGTGTCTTAGCTCAGTGTAGACAAATACGTGTATGCTCTATTCTCTTTATTTTTTCCCCAAAGGAGCTGTACTAAGACCAGGAGGAAGTTTTGCACAGCTTTAACTGTGTGCTTTGCTTCACAGAGATGAGTGTCTTCAGCGGCAGCGCCTCAAGTCAGATGTGTGAGTGAAGTCCTTGGGGAATCAAGGGCAAAAATTGCTGCCTAGGTTCAATGTTACCATCATTGATTCTTGATTGTTTGCAGTTCCCTCCTCTGCTAAATTACTTTTCTTCCTAAAGGGAATGTTATATATCAAAAGTTCTGGTAGGTGCTGATGTGATTATTTGTACTGTACCTACTGCGTGGGCTTCTTCAATGTAGATGATAAGGAAATCTGCTACAGAGCTGAAATCTTTGACAAGTTTGTTGAACTCATCAAAGTGTAACATAAATGAAGGTCAGGTGCAGCTTCCAAAATTGAGGATTAAAGGTCGGTTATCTGGAAGAAAAACGTGGGACACTTTGTGGTTACATGGATGGAGGGAGGAAGGACAGAACTAGATTAATACACTGAGTTGAGCCTCTGCCACAGTGTTTCCTGTGTGACTAAATCACTTGTCACATAACTTTTTTCCTTCCAGGACATTGAAACTGATAGCAGAACATCTGTATCACCAGGTTTCTGTACAACACAAGCATAAGGATGCTTGCTTTTCCTTAAGCTGAAGCTGACTGGTGCAGGTTCCATCCAATAGTGAGCTTAACCAGGGAGCATCCTTTCCTGTGTAACACCTGGCAAAGGCAGAACGTACCCTATAGACAGATGTGTTATCATCACAAGAACCGTTTCTCAAGCTACCAGCATTCTGGCTGAGGGATCAAAAATGGATGTACAGGATGTGGCACCTCACAGCCTCCTTGACATCCTTCATGTGAAGGAATTTTAAGAAGTATTAAATGTGATCGTTCTGGAAAGTTTCTTGAAGGACACTGATTCAGAGATGGATGTCTAAGCACAAATTATGAATTCTTTTAATGAACCTTCCAGACATTTTTTTGTGGTGTCATTTGTAGCTGAGCTGAGTGAAAGCTGCAGCCCTCTCAGTCATGCATCACAGGCTTGCATGCTTTCAATGTATTTCTGCAATTTCCTGTCCAAACAGAACTTTGCTTATATATTTATCAAACTAATGCTACCCAAGCCTGGGGCAGAAGTATCTATGCAGTTGCTTACAAATTAGCACATGCGTACCCACATTTGCTAGCATCTGTTCAATTGATTGCAGGGTTCAGTTTAAGAAAACTTGCAGGATTTTTAGTCTGTGGTCATGCTAGATTATCTCAAGTGCGTTCAAGATGTTCCTTCTGGCTGAGTTTAGCTTCACAAGCTGCTGCTAGCATAGATTTGCATCTTAAAGAAGCTAAGAAACAGGGTGCCTTCCTGTAGGTACTGTGTATGTACTGCTGTTTCTATCTTGCAACTCCATTTTATTTCTCTGTCTGTCTTTATATATACACATATAAATTAGAAAAGCAGAGTTGGAGAAGGATTTAATCCCTCCCATGGAGACAGAGACTGCAGCTTAATGATTAATTCCACGTTCTACAGAGATTTCAGTGGGAGGCAGAGGACAAAGTACAAAGCAACTTCTGCTTAATTTCTAGCTCCTTTAAATCTGCAAAAACACCCTGTGCTTTCTAGGCTTTAGCCTGGCTTCTGGGACTTTCCTTATGTGCAGGCAGTGCCAGCCAACGGTCGTGACTCACTGCATATGGTTCTGATTCTGGGTCTTATCTTCTGAAGAGAAACAATTATCTTGGCTGTCAGGATTTCTAGGAAGGGACAGGCTTTGGCAAGATCTCTATGAGCTCACTGGCGTGTAGGGATATTGTATGTGGGACAATGAGCTGGTTACTTCAAGGGATGAAGAGGCAGAGAGCTGAGAGTGCACGGCACAGCAGCCCAAGGTAACAGCATTCATTTGAAGGCAGAAATGCACTGCTTGTCCTCAACCCCTCGGCAGCCTCTTGTCCTCATAGATCCTTCTAACAACCCCAAACCGGTACAAGGGTGACGTACTGACCTCGCATGAAACTCAAGAGCTGCCGGATCTCCCCATTTAGAGCCACCACCGGTGTGTTGGGAGCAGGGTGTCCCTCGTAGGCTTCGTCCTCCAGCCTCCTCCACTTCACTTTCAGCACAAAGAGCAAATACTGGAAGCTGAAAAAAGTCGGCCCCCAGTTTTCGTAGCTGAACTTTGGGTTCTGATTCATTCTGCTCTTTTCTCCCAGCTTTAGGATGTATCTTTTCATGGTGTCGGGGAACAGGATCATCATGGTTTTACCAACAACAACAGACAGAGTAACCTGCAAAAGAATCAGGAGTTTCTGTAGTAGCACCTTGATGCTGAACATCGTGCCTGAGGTCTGGCTGCTTCAAAGTGACCACAGCGTGACAGCGAGGGCAAAGGCAGTGAAGTGGGAAAGGGGGCGGGGAGTAATTTCTAGTGTTTGGCTGAATTTCTGCCTCGTCTCGAACTGTTCTGCACTTTTAAGTGGGCTCCAGCGCCTGCCTGAGCGAGGAGCCCGCAGCTGCACTGCCCTCATTCACAGCAAAGCAGCAAGGCAGAGATTCCTGGTGCAGCTCACAGGTGCACATCATTAATGAAGCGGGGTGCTTTCCCCGGTTAAAAGAATTGGATCATACGTACGAAGTATGTACAAATTATATGCGCGCACGTGTATGTATGTCATGTTTATTTTTATATGGTGCACTGAAACGTACATCTACGTTCCCGTAGCTCTGTAAGCTATACGCGCAGGTACGTACGCAGTTACTACGCAGACGCCGCAGCCCTTAACCCTTTCCTAGCGCAGTCCCTGCAGCGCTCAGAGCGCCGGGGCGCGCGCAGCCAGAGGGGCGGGCAGCCCGTGATTGGGGCCGCGGTCCCTTTATGGGGGCGGGCAGTGGCGGAAGAGGAAGCGCCTCCGATTGGCCGGCGCGGAGCTTTACGCCAATGGGTTCTTTCCTAGTCCGCCGGGTGGGCGGGAGAAGCGAGCAGCGGAGCTGCCGATTGGCTGTCGCTGCGCAGTTCCTGCCGCGTCTTTAAGGGTGACGGAGGCCGCGGTTGGGCAAGGGGTTGGGGAGCAAAGGTGCGGGGCTGGGTAGGGCGGTGCGGCGCTCCCTGGGGAAGCGGGGGAGGCGAGCGGCCTGGGGGGAGGCGGGGCGGCCGGTCGGTGGCCTCCGTCGGCACTGCCCGCAGAGGTGACACCGGGGGCAGCGCCGGGGGCCCGGCCAGCGGTGCTGCGTGTGCCCGGCGGTGCTGAGCGGCCCGGCGGGGCCTTGTGCTTCCAGGAGGGTGCGGGCATCGGCAGCTGCTCCTCGGCCCGAGCGGGCGGATGGCGGCGGTGGACGACTTGAAGTTCCGAGGTGAGGCTGGGCGGCTGTCAGAGGTGTGACTGCTCCGTGCTTTGCGTTCCAGCTCCCTGGTACGGGTCTGTTACACCGGATCAGTGGGAGAGGAGGGCGAACGCTTCGTTAAATAAGCGTTTGGAATGTGTCGGTTTGGGTTTTGAGAAACGGTTGTGCTTCAGGTGTCTGAGTTATTGATGCATCCTTTCTTGAGTAGTGCGAGGATCTGAATGTAATCTAATCATCATTTCTTGTAACGTGCTTATTTGCAGAATTTGACGATGCAGCTCATTTGCTTGCAGCAAATCCCGATGCCACCACGATAAGCATCGATGAGCCGGCAGAAGCCCATAAGAATCAGCACAGCCGTCGGCAGGAGCCGGGGAGAGAGGAGGACGATGAACTGCTGGGGACCGACGACTCGGATAAAACAGAGGTAATATTCCCTGTCAGCAGTGCCCCCTCAGCACACACAGGTGGTGCTGACAACACTGAGGTATTCCTAGAGGACAGCAGGGATGAATGCTGAGTGCTTTAAAACTTGGCTTCTCTGCTGTTGCAACGCTCTGTTTGTTTCTGCCGGTTTTGCTGTGATGTGGTGCCTCTGGCAGGAAAACAGGAAGCTTTGAAATGCCCAGGGTCTGTCTGAAGGCTCTGCTGATGCAGCTGTCAGTCAGCACAAAGGAGCTTGTGGTATACAGGAAAACGTTATAAATAATGTGTAGAAAGGTGGCATCTTGCTGCTCTTTAGAACACCAGACCACTGTTCTGCTTGCAGGGAGATCACTAGCTGCTGCTAACAAATGTTGGAGGAGGAAAGGAAAACTGTTAAGTAGTTCATAGAAAGCACTAATAGGTACTTCTTTGTTAATTTTGTTTTCTGCTTGGGAAGAGAAGTGTTTTAACTATTGTGTAAATGAGCCAGTGATTTATAAATGGCATACTTGTAATGTTTTCCATGTTGCTTTTCCCACCATACAGCTGCTTGCAGGACAGAAGAAAAGTGCCCCTTTCTGGACATTTGAGTACTACCAGACGTTCTTCGATGTGGACACCTACCAGGTTAGCACTCCACTCTCAAGGAGAACTCGTTTGAGCCATGTCTTATCCAGGCATAAAGGATCTTTCCTTTTGTCATTTTTGGTCAGACAAAACTGTGTGTTCTCATAGGTCCTGGACAGAATCAAGGGTTCGGTTTTCCCAGTGCCAGGAAGGAACTTTGTAAGGCTGTATGTCCGCAGCAATCCTGACCTCTATGGTAGGTATGAGGTGTGATAAGTTCCCTTCTGTGCTAAATGTTTTGAGTTTGCATTCTTCTACTTGCTCTTGCTAAAAAAACTTACAAGAGCAGAGGAGCTGTTACTGAAATTGTGTTTCTTTTTAAGGTCCCTTCTGGATATGTGCTACACTTGTCTTTGCCATTGCTGTTAGTGGCAATCTCTCAAATTTCTTCATCCACCTGGGCAGGCCGACATACCACTACGTGCCTGAGTTCAGAAAAGGTTTGTAAGTAGACGATATGGCCTTGAGGGTGTGTTGTTGTTGTTGTTGTCTGTTTTTAATGTGCTAGTGCAGTAACACAAAAACAGGCTGTAGCTTTTAGTTAGCAGTCTTGTTGGTTGACTGCTCTCTGTAAATTTTTAAGAGATGGCAAAGCAAGCACTGAAAATAGGCTTGCAGTCGCTCAAATAGTTTTGGATTTGACAGTCATGTCTATTCTCAAATGTTATTTTTTTCAATATCTGAAGCTGAACTTTTTAAAATTTATTTTTAATTTTTTCTGTTCTGCATGGCTCTCTTCACACTGAAAATGACAGCATTTCATACTCAAGTGTAATAAATTGAAAGCAGCAAAGTAATCATTTCTGGGGTCTTTACTTTTTAATTAACTTGAAATGCTGGTGAAAGTACTGGGAGTAAAGTGGACATAAATGCAAAATTCTCAATTTATGAATAATGAATGCTTTACTTTTTGAAAGTAATTTCAAAGGAAACTCTAGTTTTCAGGCTTAATGCTTCCATACATTCGATTCTGGCTAGTATTCTAATAGAACCTTAAATCTTCTGATATATTTACAGTCTCCATAGCAGCAACAACGATTTATGCATACGCTTGGCTTGTTCCCCTTGCTCTCTGGGGATTCCTGATGTGGAGGAACAGTAAAGTTATGAACATTGTCTCCTACTCTTTCCTGGAGATAGTGTGTGTATATGGCTACTCCCTCTTCGTCTATATTCCCACAGCGGTACGTATGGCCTGAAGGCTGCTGGCAAGGTTGGGGATTGGGATGTGTCCTCCCAGGCTGCACGTGTGGATGGATGTGTTGAGGGCAGTGCTGATGCACAGGCTCTGAGGACAAAATTTCCTTGGCCAGCACCATCCTGGGCCGCTCTGATGATGGCGAGGCCATGGAGGGGGTGCCCAGAACTTAGGAAACGTGAACTTGTCATGGGCAGCAGCTCCTTGTTGCTGTGGCTGCTGTTGTCCTTTCTTCAAATGAGGCATGGGATAATTAGAGAGCAAATTGGCTGGAAGTGATGAAATGTCAGAGAACACGATGCATTAAATAAACGAATCCCAGTTTCACGCAGTCTCTCTGACAATCATTTTCCTCCCTGACAGATCTTATGGATTATTCCCCAAAAAGTGGTGCGCTGGGTCCTGATGATTTTTTCCCTGTGCCTTTCGGGCTCTGTTTTGGTGATGACCTTCTGGCCTGCTGTCAGAGATGACAACCGGAGGATTGCGCTGGCGACCGTGGGGACCATCGTGCTGCTCCACGCCCTGCTGTCTGTTGGCTGCTTGGTAGAGGACTCTTATTTCTTTATTCTTCCACCTGCCTCTGTTAGTTGTTACTACCTGGGGCTTGCAGCATGGTGTAATACAGGGAAGGATGCTGCTGGGAAATCTTTCTAAATCAAGAAGCAAGAAGTGCTTGTGAAAAAACACCCTTTAATTATTTCAAATAGCAGAACTTAATGCCAATTGGACTTTGACAATGCATGTAGCAAACTCAATAATGAATATTTAGCACAAAATTACCCAGAAAACAGTATTTTTATCTGGAATTAATTCGCTGTTCAACATTAATCTTTGTAATCTAGTCACAGATTATTCCAACAAGTACTATGCTCAGTTGATCATATAAAATTATTGAATTCAGTATATAGTGCATGCTTCTGAGTTCTATATATGAAAGCATAAACTTGCTAGAGATTAGTAAATCCACATTATGAAATCAGAAGGCTTTAATGCTACTGAAATCTATAATGACAATAAATTAATTTTTTTTTTGTTCTTTAATTACACTGAGTAGAATTATACCATACAGGCTTCAGTTCTGACCCCCCCCACTTCAGCCTCTTGTCTAAATAGATTTGCTCAGCATGCAGATAGAGGGTCAAATGCAATTCTGATGACAGTGGGAGCTACTGTTACTGTAGGCTGCATGGAGCTTCATCAGTTAATCAGCAGTCAGTTGAGTAAATTTCTGCTGTCCTCTCTGGTATTGGACAATTCAAACATCTGAACTGTTGTCTGTTATACTGTAAAATCCAATTTAGAGTCTCATTTTAACTGACCGTATCTAATCTGATAAAAGCTCTTAGAACTAAAAGATTCAGACTTGTTTCAGTGCTGTGCTTGCAGCTCATGGACAATGGATATGGCAAGAGTGAATGGGGGCTGATGAGGCAGAACCATTTGTTTCTTCCTAAATGGTCTTTTTTTTCTGCTTTGCAATAACTTAGGCATACTTTTTTGATGCCCCTGAAGTGGATTTTCCTGCACCTATTATCCCTGCTCACAATGGAACAACGCTGATAACAAAAGTTAAGTAAATAAGGTAAGATCATAGATTTCTTACTTAAGCATCTAAAAATGGAATCCTGTCATTAGGGAACACAGGTCTTGAAACATCTCCCTTGCTACTATGGTTGAGGGTTGAACACATGAACTCCACCAAATGGGGTCTGCGTATAAATACCATTTATTACTGTTCTGCCAGCTGGAATTCTAAATGATGGCTGTGAAAATGTAAAAGACTGAGAAACAAAGACAACAA